ACTTTAAATGACCATAGAACACTTTTTACATTTATGGGAGTGACTGCATGTTTATTGTTGATTTAAGCAACTATATTTTGGAGTAATCTATTATTTGGCAGTAGGTAACTAATACATGGGATGTACAGGGTTAGCTTTGGGGCTCAGTTTCCTTACCTGCAAACCGGCATTACAGTACCTTCTTCATTAAGGTTATTGTATCAGTTTTTAAAGTTTGTGGTGCAGAATGGTAACTATTTTATTAACACTTCCCTATTCTAACCATTCTTTTTATTTTCCATCCTTTTAAGACTTTATAGTAACTATCTGTCCACTATTTGTGCAAATATCTGTTCCAACTAAATGGAAGCTGTTTTTCATTTCTCTTGTCTCATCTGACAACACCTAGAAAATAGTATTCCAGAATCAAAGTATAAGAAATAGATGGGCTCATTAAAAGCTAATGTCATTTTTTTCTGTGAAGTGTCTCCAGTGTGAATCTTACTGTTTGGCTTCTGTATTCACTGCACAGTTAAGTGTAGGGCTTGTCCGCTCACAAATGCCCATGACTCAGAGCCATGGGACACTATGGTTCTTACTTGCGGATCACATCTTGCTAGGTAAGGGTAGGTTGAGATCTCAGGAGACAGTGAGAACCTAGTACTTCTCGTGCCTTACTACTCACATACTGGGGTTTCTACTTTCTAAAAAACTCTTCGAGGTGCCCCGCTTTTTTTTTTCTGTCTCCAAAACTGCTACATCAGGGGTTGTAGTCAGAGTTTGCAAAGAAATAGATTTACTACAGGACATGCAATTTATAGGATTATTTTATAATATTCACCCCAAAAGTCAAATGCAGAGGAGTGAAAAAGATCTAACCATGCACCAGAGACCCAAAGAATCCAGCCAAGGGCCTGGATCCCACAGTAATGTTCCACACAAGTACATCTGAAGGCCTGGAGTCAAGGCAAAGTCCTCCTTGAATCCAGCCAGAGGCCTAGAGCCCACAGAAATGTCTCAAGCTTGTCTGTATCAAGGATCTGCACTGGGATGGCCCAAAGGCCATTGGTGAAAGCCAGAAATCCTGTACCGGTGGTGTGAAGGATTTGTGCCTTCTACTGAGGGATCTCCACTGGACCCAGAAAACAATGCTCACAGCAAAGATCAGAGCTTCCCCAATGAGAACAGCAGCCATTGACAGTGAGGACCTGAGTTCCTCCAACAATGAGAGAACAGCCAAGTTCAAATCAGGAAAACCAGACATAGCAAGAGAGTCAATAGCCATTGATCTTCCTCTCCAGTTCTCTTTTTATGCTGTTGGCAGCAATCTGCAGGTGGGTCTTCCATGCCCAGAACCATGATGACTGGATTTAGCTGGATATTCCAAGTTGACCATTGTTTAATCCACCACACCAGGTGAGGCTATCATAATTTCTTATCTGAATTATCACACTAGCTTCCTATTTGAAACTAGGATTACCACCCCCAACCATGCCCTGATACTGCCGTTAGAAAAATCTTCCTAAAATTTAAATTTGATTATATCACTTCTCTGCTCACACTTTTAAAAATGATTTACAAGAACCTGGAAGATCTCATTTCTGTTTACCATTCCAATTCTACCTTCCCACAACACCTACTTGTGGTTTCTGAACACAATAATCTCTTTCTAGTCTCTTGAGTTTTGCACATAGTTTAATTCTTTGCTTCAGATCGTGTAACATCTGAAACACCACCAAAACACCACCACCATAAAAAAAAGTTCCACAGCTTTCTTGCCTCAGATTGACTGTTGCTGCATAAAATTGCACTGTTCTTTACTGAGAATATCCAAAAGCTTAATGAGTTTTCCCACTTCTTAGATTGAAGATTGGCATAGGTTAAGTGGGGGTTGGAAAGTTACATTTGAGCTTGTTTTTAGTCATTAAAGACCATATTGTCCATGTGGTTCTTCAAACCATTCCGATTACAGTGGCATCTCGGTTCATGATTTAATTATTTCCTTGATTCTGGTCACAAGCAGAATTGGATGAGAATTGAATCAAATTCATGGTTAGGTTCAATGTTGACCTTATGGAGAAATTTGGTTTGGTTCTTGTCCAGTTTGGTTTGTAAGCAGAATCGTGGGAAGAATTAAGTTCATGAACTGAGATTCCACTGTAATTGGGGTCATTGAGCAAGGGCAGTTAGAAGTGAGAGGAAGACTGGGTTAGCATTCTCTAGTCCAGGAGTCAGCCCAAGGACCACCATCCCAGCCTGGACCCTTTTCTCCACTGAAGACCCAATAGCCAGTTATCAGCTAGGCATCTCACTTGCACCTCAAACTTCAGATGTCTATAATCAGACTCACTGTGGGCTTTCCCAAGTCTTCTCCACCACTGATATTTCCTAACCCTAAGAATTAATAGACATTGACCACCTAGTCCCTGAGCCAAAAACTTGGATGCTCCCCTGTGTTCACCACTGAACCTCAGACACCATGATTTGCTGTATCCTGTATGCCCCGCACATTAAATGTCTATTCTTGGTCAGACTTTTCCACTTTGTCCACACTGCTCCTGCCTTGATTTTGATGTATCTCTTCTTGTCACCTACACCATGCAAGTTTCCTAGGAATTTCTCTGCTTTCAGTTGTATCTTTTACCACACGCTTCTGTAATGATCCCTCAGTGATTCCTTTAGTTTGTAAGACAAGACACAGATCCTCACCACGGAGCAGGAATCTCAGTGATGGGTTTTACTTTCCTCTGCAGGCTCACCTTTGATTTGCTCTACACTTAACCCCACAATCTGGACATGTGAGGCCCACACTATTGTATGGCTTCTGCATGAGCCTGTGAGGGCCCCAAATGCCGTTGTCACACTGCTCTCTCTGCCTGGGAAGTTCTTTCTTTCTGGCTATCCCACTGTCCCACAAACACTCACTCAAAAGCACCTTAAATTCTTAAGACTAAATTTAAACACTTGCAGAAGCCTTTCCTGACCACACCTTGTGTTCCCCTTTCAGCACTGCTTGGTTGACTTTGGGGTTAGGAGCGCGGGGGAGGGGTCTTGAGCCTGTTGCAATGTTAAGAAAAAATCTGCTCAATGGAAGGGAATCTGGTCTAGGATTAATTCTACTTTGAATTTGTCACTAACACTTTGGCTCTTTTTGACTTACAGAGAACCATATTGAAACAGAAAGAGAATGAGTTTGCTGGCTGGAAATCACCTGAGGGACAGTGAAAGATGGCAGATATGGTCTCTAGCCCTTTGAACCTTCTGAAAATTTCTCCTTGGTGCTTCTTGATTTAGTGTTTGTGGCAATTTCAATGCAAATAGGAAGTTAATGTGTGTGGTGGAGGAAGGAAAGGGAATAGAGAGACACTCGAGCATAAGCAGCAGGAGAGGAAGGGAGTCCCACAGAGGGGCAGGAAGGGCCGATACTGAGTGAGAACAGGAAGGGTCACCCTGGGTAAAAGCTCCACTCCATGTCAAAGGGGTTCATACTTCCTTGCGCTCTCAATCCAGAGATCTAATTCTAGATTGTATGGGAAAAGCAGAGGACTGAAGGTAAGGATTGAGTGGGGTGCACCCACCCTTCCTGCCCTTAGCCTGCTACCCAGATGTGGCAAACCCAGAGATTGATTTGCATACCACAGACACCTTTATCTTTCTTGCAAATATGAAGCATAAAATAATGAACTCTGTATGTCATGCAATCCTGCTGCTGGCTGGGAGGGAATCCTGCATGCTGGGAGCCCGTGTGTGGCTCATTTGGTCCTAGGGATCCAGGCTATAAGGTGGGGGTGAGAGGTGGGTGCTTTCCCAAATACCTCATGGTCACTTAACCAATTCAGAATGGACTTAACTTATCCTGAAGAGCTGCACACAATTGTAAACATGCATTCTGGCAAAGACAGATGGAGAAATTCTTGGTACAACTCCAGTGGAAAGGCCATTGCTGTGGAAATGACAGAGGCTGGTCTGTTAGAGCCTGTGAATTTAGATAGGGGATAAAGCAGGTAGGGAGCTGCCCCAGTAGTGTTGAGGATCTGGACAAAAAGGCAGGAGAGTTTTATAAATAAATCAAATCATTTCACCTAAAGCCACTGCAACTCTTTTTCCAGCGAGAAATACAACTCAGAGAGGTGAAATGTCAACAACTAACAGATGGCTTAATACTATGCTCAGGTAGATAGATGATAAATGTTTTTTTCCACAGTGTGTGGTGTTGGGGACAGAGGTGTGTTCTTGCTGCCACTCATTAACACATTTCCTGGAAGCCTGTTTCATATAGCTAGAGCTGTCATTATGGTTTTGCAATTATTCTTACAAAATGTGAATTACTTATATAATATACCTAGTACAGTTTCTGGCAGTCTGTTTGTAGGGTAAGTTTGCAACTAACTTTTGTTGACTTCCCTTCCTCCTATTAATGATAAGATCTTGTCGGCCAGCTAACGAAGGGAGAGAGATGCCACCAGACCAGGTCTTCAAGGTCCCTGGGCTGTTTTGTTCAGTACCCTCTGTACTCATTGCTCTCGGTAAGTCCCTGGGCATGCTCCCTGGTGGAGCCCCATCGTGTCCTACTTGGCTGTGATCTTTGGGGCTTCTGACTTATCCTCAGAGTTCTGGCTAGGCCTCCCCCATATCCTTATCTGCTTTTGAAGACTCGGACATTTTTATTTACCACCTTCTCTAACTCTTACCTTCCCCTGGATTTGCAATGTCTCAATTTCAATTGAACCAGAAAGTCCTCCAGTAGCAGCTTGCCTTTTCCAATCCAACTTCATTTCTGAATTTGAGAGAAAGTTTTTTAGTGGTGAAGAGAAAGACTTTGGAACATTCAAGTTGAATTCTAATTCTGGCTCAGTTACAGCTATCTGATTCTGGGCAAGGCATTTAACTTCTCTGGAATTCAGTTTCTTCAACTGTAAAGCCAGAATAACAACAAATTCACAGTGATATTATGAAGATTTAATTAGGATCTAACTTTGAAAAAGATTTAATAAATAGTAGCTATAAAACATATGTCTATAGCACTCACTTCAGCAGCACATATACTAAAATTAGAACGATACAGAGAAGATTAGCATGGCCCCTGTGCAAGGATGATATGCAAATTTGCAAAGCATTCCACAGTTTAAGATCTTTCTTTTTCTCTATGCACATGCATAATACTCATATATACACAATACTTATCTTTATTCTGGGGTCATGGAAGAGAAGCTCATACTCAAGAAAATGTATTCTGTTGGGATCTAGTTTCTGATGTTGCACTGTCTCTAGCTGAATGACCCTGGAGAAACCACCTCACATGGCTGGTTATCTGGACACTTCTATGAGGTCGGAACTTGAAACAGTCACTTGCTAGAGACAAAGGCAAAACTGTGCTGGAGGACACAGGAAGCTGGAAGCAAGGGGTGGGGCATGTGAGAATGAGCTGTGGCACCATTAGAGAAAACAGTGTGCAGTTTAGTAAACAACAACAACAACAAACAATCAAGCAAACAAACTGCTATATGATCCAAGAATCCCACTCCTGGATAAATATCCAAAGAAAAGAAAAGCAATATATCAAAGAGATATCTGCATGTCCATGTTTATTGGGTACTATTAATAATAGCCATCATATGGAATCAACCATCACTGGATGGATGGGTAAAGAAAATATGGTATCGCTGGGGATTTAGCTCAGTGGTTCCACCACCTGCCTCGCAAGCACAAGGACCCAAGTTCAATCCCCTGTACCAAAAAAAAGAAAATATGGTACATACACACAATGAAACATTATTTGGCCATACAAAAGAATAGCATCTTGTCACTTGCAGCAACATGGATAGAACTGGAAGAACTTAAATCAAATAAAAGAGTCACAGAAAAACAAATATTTCATTGTTCTCACTTACATATGGAACCTAAAAATTTTGTTCACATAGAACTAGGAGTAGAATCACAGTCAGTAGAAGTTGGGAAGAGAGGGAGAAGGGATGGAGAGTGGATGGTTCATGGGTATAGGGTGCAGTTGGATAGAAGAAATAAATATCATGTGCTGTTACACAATAGCATCACCATGGTTGAGAATAATTAGTTATATATTTCAAAATGGCTAGTAAAGATGAATTTGAATGTTTTCAGTACAAAAAAGAAATGTTTGATGTGACAAATATACCAATAACCCTGATCTAATCATTACACATTGAATATAGGTATTAGAATATCACACTGTAACCCACATGTACAATTATTATGTGTTAAACATTTACAAAATATTGAGAAAGAGAATGAGCTGTGGGAACAAATGAGTAGGGAGTTTCTTCCCTCTGACTCTGGTTTTTCCCCCTTCAGCTTCTTTGTCCACTGCAATAAATGGACTTCTCAAGAAGATTTTCTCCAGTCTGGCTTTTCCTTTTGTAGCTTGAGGCTATGACCAAACTGAGTCTGGTTATTTCTTCAGAGCCCTGATTCCTAAACATGTGGTAGCACCTTCCTAGTTAAAAGTAGGGCCCTCCTGGCCCCTGGAGTCCACAATGTGCTGTAAGTGGGCTCTTACCATTTGGATCAGGCTTTTGGGGGGTATAATAATCTTAATTTAAAATCCAGGCCTTGGAAAACTGGAAAAAAGATACAATTGAGAGGCAGGAGCAGCAATATCCAGAAGAAGAAGAATAAAGAAAGAGGAAAAGAGTTAGTGTACATATCAAGGTCAGCTATATGTCTGGCATTGCACTTAGCCTTTCATCTATGTTCTTTTTTAAAAAGTTGAGATTATTGATACTTTTAAAGTATACAGTACAATTACATTCACCATTGGGATCTTGTACCTTTACGCAACATCTTGATTCTCGTATTTTCTCCATTCCCCTGCCCCCTCTTCAACCCCTCCAACCTCCCCTACTTACAAAGCCTTTGTTTCCATTTTTTCCTTTTTTCATATTTATCTTTTCCCTTATTTCCTTTCCCCTGCCCTTTCCACTTCCCCTACAACTTTTGCCCTTTTCTTCCTATTTCACAGTATCAGTTATACAATTCAGATCTTACTTACACTTTTAGCTTTTCACACCAGAGAAACTATTCTGTATTTACACATGTGTGTCTTATTTATTTCGCGTAAGAGCAGGGTCTAAATATGTATCCATTTTTGAATGAATGACTGTAGTTTCTAATTCTTTATGGCTGAGTAGTATTCCATTTTATTAAAAAAACCCCACATATTGTTTATCCAGTCTCCAACCGATGGTCAATTGGGCTGTTTCCAAGTTTTAGCTATTACAAACTGCACCACTGTAAACATGGGTGCACATATATCACTGTGGTATGATTCTTTTAATTCTTTTAGAAAGTTACCCAGCAGAGGGATAGCTGGGTCAAATGGAACCTCTAATCCTAGCTCTTTGAGGTATCTCCATATTGATTTCCGCAGTGGTTGCTCCAGTCTGCACTCCACCAACAATGGAGAAGTGTTCCTTTCTCCCCACAACCCTGCCAAAACTGTTATTGGTTGATTTCTTGATAGCAGCCATTCTTTCTGGGGTGAGGTGGAATTTCAATGTTGTTTTCATCTGCATCTCTTGAATGACCAGTGATGTGGAGCATTTTTTCATATATTTATTTGTTACTTTTACTTCTTTGTCTGAGAAATGTCTGTTCATTTCTCATGCTCATTTTTGAATTGGGTCTTTATATTTGGGGTGCCTGATTTTTTTTTGTTCTTTATATGTTCTATATAATAGTCCTTTGTCTGAGGAGCACCTAGTAAATTTTTTTTCCCATGTTGTAGTTGTCTCTTAGCTCTGTTGTTTTGTATTGTTTTTGTTTTTTGCATTGTAGAAGCTTTTTTTTTTTTTGGTACCAGGGACTAAACTCAGGTTCTGTGTGCTTGTGAGGCAGGTGCCAAAACCACTGAGCTAAAATCCCCGGCCCTGTAGAAGTTTTTTAATAAGATGAGATCTCAGTTGTTGATTCTTTGTGCTAGTTCCCATGCTACCAAGCGTTTGTTCATAAAGTCTTTTCCTATGCCAATGCCTTTGAGAGTTCTACCTATCTTCCAGCAAGTTTAGTGTTTCTGTTTTATATATAGATCTTTAATGCACTTGGGTTTTAGTTTAGTAGATGGTGAAAGATAAGGGTCTAGTTTTAATCTTTGGCAAGTTGAAATCCAGTTTTTCCAACACAATTTATTAAAGAGGCTATCTTTCCTCCACTGTGGACGGTTGCCTCCTTGTCAATGATGAGGTTGCTGAATATGTCTCGAGTAGTTTTTGTATCTTCCAATCTATTCCACTGATCCTCGGGTTTTTTCTTTGCCAGTATTATGCTGTTTTTTTCACAGTGGCTTTGTAGTATAGTTTCAAATTGGGGATTGTGAAATACCCTGTCATGTCTCTGTTGCCTAGAATGACTTTTGCTAGGTCTCTTCTGGTCCCAAATGAATGTTTGGATTATTTGCTCTAACTCTGTGAGATATAACATTGGAATTTCAATAGGGATTGTATTGAATCTGTATAGCAGTTTTGGTAGTATGGCAATTTTCACTATGTTGATTTTTCCTACCCAGGAGCAGGGGATATCTTTCCATTTTCTTATGTCCTCTTCAATCTCTTTTTTTCAGAGTGTTGTAGTTTTAAATGTAGAGGTCTTTTCCTTCCTTTGTTAGATTGATTCCTAGATACTTCATTTTTTGTGATGCTATTGTGAAAGGAATTGTTTCCCTAATTTCTCTCTCAGCAAGCCTGTTATTTGTGTACAAGAAGGCTATTGATTTTTGAGTGTTGACCTTGTATCTAGCTACTCTGCTGAAAATGTCAATTAAGTCTAGAAGTCTTTTAGCAGAGTTTTTTGGGTCTTGAATGTAGAGTATCATATTTTTAGCAAATAATGACAGTTTAACTTCTTCCTTTTCTATCTTTATTGCTTTAATTTCTTTCTCTTGTCTAATCACTGTGGCTAATGTTTCCCGAACTATATTGAGCAGGAGTGATGATAGTGGGCATCCTTGTCTTGTTTCTGATTTTAACATGAAGGCTTTCAGTGTTTGGCCATTTAATATGATGTTGGCTGTTGGTTTTTCATAGATAGCCTTTATCAAGTTGAAATAAAGAACATCTATTCCAATTTTCTGCAGGGTTTTTATCATGAATGGGTGTCGCATTTTGTCAAATGCTTTTTCTGCATCTATTGAGAGGATCATATGATTTTTGTTCTCGAATCTGTTAATATAGTGTATCATATTTATTTATTTCCATATGTTGAACCATCCTTGCATCCCTGGAATAAATCCATCTTGGTCAGGGTGGGTGATCTTCTGTATGACCCTCTGCATTCTGTTTGTCATCATCTTATTGAGGATTTTTGCATCTATATTCATTAAGATAATTGGCCTGTAGTTCTCTTTTTCAGTTACATCTTTTTCTGGTTTGGGAATCAAACTGATACTTGCTTCCAGGAATGAATTTGGAAGTATAGCCTCCCTTTCAATTTCATTGGACAATTTAAAGAGCAGTGGTAGTAGTTCTTCTCTAAATGTCTTGTAAAATTCACCAGTGAAGCCATTAGGACCCAGGCTTTTCTTCATTGTTAAACTATTAATTACATTTTCAATTTCACTGATTGTAATTGGTGTGTTTAGATTTTTTTTTAAATCTTCTTCATTGAACTTTGGTAATTCCAAAGTATCTGGAACTCTGTCCATTTTTTCTGTGTTTTTCATTTTACTAGAATACAGGTTCTCAAAGTAGCTATTGATGATCCTCTGGATTTCTGCTTTTTTTCTGTGACTTCCTTTTTTTCATTCCTAATTGCATGGATCTGAGCCTTTTGTTTCCTTTTTTTTGACCAGGTTGGCTAAGGGTTTATTGGTTTTATTTATTCTTTTGAAAAACCAACTCTTTGATTCATTGATTTTTTTTTTGGTATTGTTTTCCTAGTTTCCATTGCATTGATTTCTGCTCTGATCTTTATAATTTCCTCCCGTGTTTGAGCTTTGGGTTTGTTTTTTTTCTCTTTTTCTAGGATCTTAAGACTCCTCATTAGGTTGTTTATTTGAGCTCGCTCTGCTTTCCTAGTGTGGGCATTCACTGTTATGAATTTTTAATGTAGAACTGCTTTCACTGTGTCTCATACATTCATGTATGTTGTACTGACATC